TAATAAGGCCTAATTCCCACTGAACTCTGCAGGACTGTCTTTTGAGTAATATACTTAGGCTAGCAGTATAAATAGGGTTGTGTTTGCATGATTCACTCCTACTTCTGTCTTTTCTGGAAACTGGGTTAAATGTGCTGTCATATTGCCCTCTAGTGGCACACTGCTATAACAAAAATGGACTCAACTTGCGTTATGGTGGTGAAGAGCAATGGTCAGTCTTATCATCGGGCAGAGTGCAGTGGCCCCGCAGAAAAAGACAGCAAATTGCTGATTCCTGAATTTGTGGTTATTGTGTTGCGAAATATATCCATTGACATAGCATTTTCTGCCTCTAATACCAAAATAACTTGGGTGTTAATGTTAGAATTCCTGCTCCATGATTGCAGTCATGGGATTTTTGTCTATCACATGACGGTGTATGTTTTGACTCCACAGAGTGGGAAGTGACGGAGACGGGATATTTGTGTTACTGTGTTCCATGAAGTGGGACTATTGTTCTTTGTTCTTTTTCTCTTTGCTGTCTTATGCTAGAGAGAGGGGGAGCCATGTTGCAGTGCTCCGTGTGTGTTTATATGTAAATAAAGTAGATTAGCCAAAATGCTGAGTTGCTGAGTTCTATTACGCAAGCTGCGTAGATTCTGCTGATCTCTAAGTGTGCCGGTGTCTGTAGGCATCGGTCGCTGTGATGTTCAGGTAGAAGAAAGCTTTTGAAGCTCCCGAACGATCGACCAGGAGGGAGAGAACATGCCAGTCGGGTGTGTGTCTCTGCCAGGGTCCTACTCAAGAGTAGGACGAGCTCTTGACAGTTAATGCACCTTGACTTGGGGGAGGGGAGAGAGACCATTTGCCACTACTCAGCAAAATGTACTTCATCAGTTCTTACAACTACTGTGTAACATTATTATTTCACCTAAATTGCAGGTGGGCAGAGGGTGGTGAAGGCTGAGAGACAGCCGTCTACCAAAGGCTAGCTGCGACGTTCCTGAGCTGAGATAGGAACCAGGTACTGCCAGGTTCATAGGCTCACACTCTTTCCCAATCACAAAAGTATTCCAGTAGTTGTTGCATACCAGATTAGCACTTAACACTAATGCACCTTCTCCAGATGTATCAGTTTGGCTGGCAGTTTGCCTCTGGGCATATTAAGATGGTGCATGGCTACAGCACACCCATGTGCCCTGTAAGCAAATAAAAATAACAACTATTTGGTTGTTGTTGTTTTTTAAAGTGGAAGCGATGGCAATCCAGGACCTGCTGGGGTGGAGGGGAGACCAAACTGCTCCGTTGCATGGAAAATTCACCAAATCTCAACTATCTTCATCAACCCTTTGTGACCTGCATTAAGATGATACTGGTATTTTATGGAGCCCTTCTAGAGCTGGAAAAAGGTTTTGCTTTTTAATAAATGTGCAATCATAGTTATAAATTATTATTATTATTACTATTACTATTACTATTGTTGCTGGTGGCAATGTTTCACTGTTGTATAGCAGCTTTTTAAATCTTCAGGTTTTGTATCTTAAAAATAAATAACCATGCCTGAGCAGGAACCGAATCATTGATCTTTCATGACCCCAATGCAGCTGTGTGGGGCTGCCCTGAGAACAGATTCTGAATCGCCTCCCTGTCATGCATCATACCAGACTCACCGATTAACCTGTAACCTGTAAATGCTTTCTGATGAGAGCATTTACGAATTCTGTTTGGGGTGTTGTTGTTGTTGTTTTAAAAATTGAATAACACTCTTAACACTCACGTCTGAACTTGATAATAAATTGTTTTATTGCTGCTGTCATAATTATTGTTGACACTCATTAGCAAAAGGTACAAAACAAGGAGAGTACAGAAGTTAGTCCATTTTTTCTCCTCAAGGAAGCTGTCAGCTATTGAAGCCTGGAAAAATAGAGGGGGAAAGATGGTGAAATATGTAAAGTTTGCCAAGGAACCTGGGTTTTTTTGTAAGGGGGGGAGTGAAAAATAGAGAAGGGGGGCAACCTTCTGTAAAGCTCTGGGCTGAGCATTCCTAGCTCAGCAATGGTATTTTATTTATTTACTTGGGAAACACATGCCACTTGATTACAATCATTTCTAAACAGGAATGATTCAAACATACATTCAACATACTTCCGGCCCGCAGACCTTAGTTTGGGGACCCCTGATCTAAAGGGCTGTCAAATGGAGGATGGTGCAAGCTTGTTTTCTCCTGCTCCGAAGGGCAGGACCCGAACCAATGGCTTCAAGTTACAAGAAAGGAGATTCCGACTAAACACCACGAAGAACTTTCTGACAGCAAGAGCAGCTTGACAGTGGAACAGACTCCCACGAGAGGTGATGGACTCACCTGCCTTGGAGGTTTTTAAGCAGAGGTTGGATTATGATCTAGCTGAAATTCCTGCATTGCAGTGGGGTTGCACTAGACCATGGCTAGGCAAACTAAGGCCCGGAGGCCAGATCTGGCCCAATTGCCTTCTCAATCCAGCCCGCAGATGGTCCAGGAATCAGCGTGTTTTTACATGAGTAGAATGTGTCCTTTTATTTCAAATGCATCTCTGGGTTATTTGTGGGGCATAGGAATTCGTTCATCCCCCCCCCCCCAAAAAAAGTCCAGCCCTCCACAAGGTCTGAGGGACAGTGGACCAGGCCCCTGCTGAAAAAGTTTGCTGACCCCTGCACTAGATGGCCCTTGGGGGACGCTCCCAACTTTACAGTCTTATGATCCAACTTGTGTGGTTTTGTCTATACTGCCTGGCAGTGGCTTGTCAGAGTTTCAGGAAGGGGTCCTTCTCCTAGCCCTACCTGGAGATACTGGGGATTTGATCCTGGGACCTTCTGCATACTCTTACCACTGAGCTATGGCCTTTGTAAGCAGTGTATGAGAAACTCAATGCAATGGGGGGGTAGTTAAAGCTATAGAATCACAATTCAGTTATAATGCCTGCTGAAGTTCAAGAAGGATGGGGTTGTCTGTCTGTCCTCACCTGGAAGGGAGCTCTATAAAACTGATCCCACAATACTGAACTCGACCGCTCCTACTAAATACAAGATGTGCATCTGAGCCATGGGGGAATATTTAGCAAGCTTTATATACTGCTTAATCCCCAAAACCCACAAAGCACCTCTCTAAGCAGCATACACAAAAGAACATAAAATATTCCAAGATAATAGCGATGGAAACAGACACTGCAAACAGGTAAGCACAATAAAATGACCCAAATATAGATTAAAATTTACAGTTTTACAAACAAGCACACATACTAAAATGACGTGTCTGGGGAGGTGTGCCTAAAGGGAAATGGTTTCAGCTTCAGAAACTACAACAAAAGGCATGGGGAATTGCAGCACGTAACTAAAAGATGGATTTCTCACAAGTGTGGATCAGACATTCTGCGGCATTTGTAAAAATGCCAGTTCCGTAGACTGAAGTGGCCAAGCGGGTATATATGGGGTAAGAAAACTGGTCCAAAGCTGTAGCGACATTTATTTACTAATCATAACACCGCCATCTCTTATCCAAAAGAACCTGAATTCTCACAGGCATCTGGTTGGCCACTGTGAGAACAGAATGCTGGGCTGGATCCTGTTCCCTGTTTAGGGAAGCTTTTAATGTTTAATAGACTCTTGTATTTTAATATTCTGTTGGAAGCCGCCCAGAGTGGCTGGGGTATAACTAAATTATTATTATTATTATTATTATTATTATTATTATTATTACAGTGGTAAAAAGGTAAAGGTAAAGGTACCCCTGCCCGTACGGGCCAGTCTTGACAGACTCTAGGGTTGTGCACTCATCTCACTCTAGAGGCCGGGAGCCAGCGCTGTCCGCAGACACTTCTGGGTCACGTGGCCAGCATGACAAGCTGCATCTGGCAAGCCAGTGCAGCACACGGAACGCCGTTTACCTTCCCGCTAGTAAGCGGTACCTATTTATCTACTTGCACCCGGGGGTGCTTTCGAACTGCTAGGTTGGCAGGCGCTGGGACCAAGCGATGGGAGCGCACCCCGCCGCGGGGATTCAAACCGCCGACCATGCGATCGGCAAGTCCTAGGCACTGAGGCTTTTACCCACAGCGCCACCCGCGTACCTCTGGTTAAATACTTAATTCGTTCCGGAGGTCTGAACTTAACCTGAAACTGTTCTTAACCTGAAGCACCACTTGAGCTAATGGGGCCTCCCGCTGCTGCCGCGCCGCCGGAGCACAATTTCTGTTCTCATCCTGAAACAAAGTTCTTAACCTGAAGCACTATTTCTAGGTTAGTGGAGTCTGTAACCTGAAGCATATGTAACCTGAAGCGTATGTAACCCAAGGTACCACTGTATTATGATCCAGCAAGCTTTTCTTACGTAATTATATAAATGAAACCATTTTTATAGCTGCCAAATTTCCCTTGGATCAACCTTCTGTGGCTACTTCGTATTCACTGTTAACATTTGCCACCCACTGATTCTGTAGTAGCCGACAACAGCAGATAAGGAGCAGCGATCAGTATTTGGGAGTTTCTGACCTATAGCCATCAACACCGGACCTTGCAGATGACCTGCTGCCTCTCTGGCACCCATAAAATACTGTTGCCCAAACCACCACGTGGGTTGTCTGTGGAGTCCCAACTCTTCCTTGGCCTTTGAAGGGAAAGGGAAGAGCAGGGAAAGGGAAGCCGAAGCGATTCACTCACATTGGCCTGCAGAGGTCAGGCAGAAATCAGCCATGCCAGATGTTCTTGCCTCCGGACGTCCTTCCAGTCATCTGAACCTTTGGCAGAGCCAGGGCTAGAAGAAAGAGACTGTGACAGTAGAAATTTTGCTGCCACATGGATCCAGAAATTGAGGATGGCGGGGGCAGGAGCAAAGTTGCAAAGGAGTCATAGTTGGTGGGGAGGGGGCATTGGAGGAAAATCCCAGGTGCCCAGTTGCCTAGGCAACTAAAAATTTGATGCTGGTAGCTAGGAATTGGAAAGAGCTTTCTTAATGCAGTCCTTGTAATAGACCTCCATAGGAATTTCATGCCTGACAGCAATTCCCATCTATATATAATGCAGAAGGCGTGTTGGAATGAGAAAAAGTTGGGTAGACATAAGCAGGTTGGCATCAGTTGCAGGCCGCCATTTTCTAAAGATGGCCACGAGACATTTTCCCGGAAGCAGCTGTTATATAGTCATAACAATTTCGTTCAAAAGATATTTTAAAAAACACCAGCGGTACCTAGAACTCCACATAAAACTAAGCATTATGTAGAAAATATTTGTTGGCAGGAACGTTCTCCTTAAGTTTCCTTGCATATTTTGCTGGCATTTTAAGATTGTTTGCTTCTGAGCTCTTTAGTTTTATATCTACCCTAGCTTTGTAAATGCTGCTATTTTACTGTTTTATTGTAATGTAGCGGCTTATTGTACACCACGTTGAGATTCTTGAATGAAAGGTGATATAAAAATATTTTAATCCATTTTTGGCTTTGGCCATTTCTTTTTTAAAAAAATGGGAAGGGATCTTATTTTTATTATATCAAAGTAAAGGCTAACAGTTTCCATCTGATCTCAAAATTACTTTATTACAATATCTAAAAGGCGAGGTTAGTACTGGCGCAGTTTTAAAAAGTTATGAACAAGAATGTCAATTTTTATTTTTCTACCAGTTTCTTTTTCCCCCCCAGTGTTAAATTCAGTTGTTCACATTTATACTTTAAAAAAAATCCTCATGATGTTGTACATTTTAGTGCATATTTCTCATAGTAAACATATTTTTGAATGCACTTTTGACTAATAGATGCATTTTTTTCAAGCGATTTCCCCTAATATAATGCACTTTTTCATGTTACTTTACCAATATATGCATTTTTTATGAACAGTTACCACTAATATGTTTTTTGCACACATTGGTTTGTTGCATTGCAAATTTCAGAGAATTGCACATTTCAAAGAGTAGCTGCTTCTGTTTTTGTATTGGTTTGAGAAGTGCAAATTAGAGGCTTCTCATTCAACTTCAGTCAAAATCAAATTTCTCTGCCACCCCTAGTTACAACTGAACATTATTTTATTATGTATAGCAAATGTTTGCAAACATCACTTTTTCAACAGATTTTAGATTGACTGAACTATAATAATACCTGAGGTGTATATTTTTAGGGCAACATAACTTATTTTTGTAAGTTGTTTTAATGTTATGATCCACCTTGGGATCTTAGGGTGAAGGATGGATAAATAGTAGTAGCAATATAATCTGGAGGAGGAAAAAGAGATCTGATTTACTTTGCAGCTGAAATACTTATTCTATGCTGAAACAGAATCTTCCTTTGCAGACCAAACAAGTTGTTGAGCTCACCTCTGTTTCCCCATATTTCGCAGAATGCATTTGGATGAAGTCCATTGCCTCCTGAGATCCAGCTTCAATGCCTTGATTCCTTGTATCTAATGCTGTGAGTTCGGTATCTCTCCTGGATGGGTCAATTCTGTTACTGGGGGAACATACACAAAAGGCATCTCCCTGAGAATCTGAGATCCTGAGGAGTGCTATAATGCTTCAGCTCTGTTAAGACCATTTCATCTGCCCCCCTGTTTCTCTCCCCCCCCCCGCAAACACATTGCTTTTCTTTTATCCCAAGGTGTGCCAACAAACCTTGGACGCGGGTGGCGCTGTGGGTTAAACCACAGAGCCTAGGACTTGCCGATCAGAAGGTCGGCGGTTCGAATCCCCGCAACGGGGTGAGCTCCCGTTGCTCGGTCCCTGCTCCTGCCAACCTAGCAGTTTGAAAGCACGTCAAAGTGCAAGTAGATAAATAGGTACCGCTCCGGCGGGAAGGTAAACGCCGTTTCCGTGCGCTGCTCTGGTTCGCCAGAAGCGGCTTAGTCAATGCTGGCCACATGACCCGGAAGCTGTATGCCGGCTCCCTCGGCCAATAGAGCGAGATGAGCGCCGCAACCCCAGAGTCGGTCACGACTGGACCTAATGGTCAGGAGTCCCTTTACCTTTACCTTTTATGCCAACAAAGGTGGTCAGAAGTGCCCCGACTACCTAGGTATAACTCAAGAGCAAATAAAAAGCCTGATAAAGGGAAAAAAGGTATTCAAGTCAGGCTTCCTCAACCGCATCCAAACTGATCAGCCCCATTGGACTTATGGTATTTTAAGACTGGTCCATGTTTGAGAATGCTAGCCCATGGAGTGGAACAAGGCAATATCCTGGACAAGAAATAAGTGTTCCCTTCTCACCTGCGTTCCTCCCTTCCTACTCAGCCTTCCAAACATCAGTTTGACCCAGTGCTTTCCCTAAAATCCTGGATGAACCACCTGTGCTATAGACTTACTCAGTCATGCTCTCTCTCCTGTTCAAGAGCCACTCCACAAAGTTCTTCTTCATCATGCTGTCCAAAGTTCGACTGTAATCGCTTGCTAATGTCCCCTCTGAATACCGTCTCTGCAGAAACTTGGAGTTCTTTGTGTTTTCTCTAAGAGCAAAACAGAAACACATAGGGAAAATCCTCATCTTTCGTTTCGAACAGCACTCTAGCTAAAGGATGGGGAATTCCTTTCGGCTCATATCCCATTGTGGAGAACTCTCTGCGGACTATGTGTGAAAGGGGACGGTTGAAATTTGCTGCCAAATGCAAGCCGCACAGCTGATTGGGAGCAAGCCGCCCTGCTTTTGGAGACCTCAGATTCTATCAGGAGCATTGATCAGAAAGTCCCGGGTGGATTTGACTCTGGTAGTGTTGCTTGCATTTGCCATCAAATGTAAATGGCACCAATTGCAAGCCACAGGTGCAAAGGAACAACCAATAATGCTCTATAAGGTTCCTGATTGCTCCTTTGCAACTGCAGCTTAATCTGTGGCTGGTTGGAAATTAGGACAAATTAGGAATATTGGTGGGCCTAATTTAGTCTGTGGACCGGAAGCTGATTTAGCATAAGAAAACACTTTAGCTTAGCAAGATGCTCAGTTCAGATACAGTGGTACCTCGTGTTACATATGCTTCAGGTTACAGACGCTTCAGGTTACAGACTCTGCTAACTCAGAAATAGTACCTCGGGTTAAGAACTTTGTTTCAGGATGAGAACAGAAATTGTGCTCCGGCGGTGTGGCGGTAGCGGGAGGCCCCATTAGCTAAAGTGGTGCTTCAGGTTAAGAACAGTTTCAGGTTAAGAACAGACCTCTGGAATGAATTACAGTGGTACCTCTGGTTACGTACTTAATTCGTTCTGGAGGTCTGTTCTTAACCTGAAGCACCACTTTAGCTAATGGGGCCTCCTGCTGCCACCGCGCTGCGAGCACTATTTCTGTTCTCATCCTGAGGCAAAGTTCTTAACCTGAGGTACTATTTCTGGGTTAGCAGAGTCTGTTAACCTGAAGCGTATGTAACCTGAAGTGTATGTAACCCGAGGTACCACTGTAAGTTCTTAACCCGAGGTACATTGTACATGTTTCTCCTCATCCTTGGGAGAACCACGGATAGTTAAATTTCAATCCACACATTTAGCCTAAAAGTGCAGATCAGGTCAGTTCAGAACTCACAAGGACTGACTACCTCAGGTATCCCTATTCATACACTTACCTTGAGTCATTTTCTTCCATCAGCACAAAGCTGACAGAGACCAAAAGGAGGAAGAGAACTTTGAAGGACTTCATGTCTGAAGCTTGAGTTCTGTAATTTAAAAACAGTACATGGTGTGTCAGATGGGACGGGGAGAGGGGAGGGATTCCTCTGAACTGCCACTGAAAGGATTTATTTGATGGCTGTGCTTTAGTGACTTGGGGTGAGGTATCAAATGTTAGTCATACTCAGACACACTGATTTCAGTGTATCTGCTCCGAATATGACTAATTTTGAGGTCACTTGCAGATGAGCACCCTCCTGATTTGTTTGCAGGGATATTAGACAAAGTGGCTATTTAAAGAGCAATCATTCTGATATGTTTGTGGGGAGGTTAGATGATGTTGCTATCCCACAAGTTCCACTGCATTTCCCCATCACTTTACTTTCAGCAGAAAATCTGAACTTTTGGGGAAAGTGCGTTTTGTTGCAGAAGAACTCCCAATCAATTATAGTGGTGCGATCTGGATTGTGATTCAATCCCACCCAAAATAATGACAGTCTACAAAGGTTAACACATTCTTCTTCCTGCCTACTACTTTTCAGCTTCCAGATTCACCCCTCCAAGGTTACAGTTATAGTTATTTTCTTTATTATTTTAATTTTTATTAATTTTATTAGTTTTTATTAATGTTATTAATTTTTATTAATTTAAAATATTTATAATCCACACTTCACCCAAAGGTCCAGGGTGGTCATATACATAATTCAAACCAAAAAATTACACAGTAAGATTAAACAGTGATTAACAGAAAATACGCAGTCCAGTTACAAATAAAACTGGCAGAAGTGATGGAAAATTGGTGTGTTAAGTACATAAGGTGTGGTTCAGCTCCTATGCAGTTGAAATAAATTTTAAAGGAGGCTTACCTTTTGGTCTGTCAAAGCTGTTGTTGAGGAGCAGAGAGCATATGGCATCCAACAGGAGCCTTGAGGATTCCTTATATATACCCAAGGGTGTGACAAAGCAAAGCCATTTCCGCGAAGCAAGACAGGATGCCCTGCACCTAATCAAACCAGATTAAAAGCTACTCTGGGTTTGTTGACCTTTGGAGCAGGAAAATGCCCTTTTAAAGCATGTTTGCATTCATGGCAATTAAACTTTTGCTGTGTTGCTAAAATGAAGATCCGGTGCATTTTCTATAATTAAAGCCATTAAGCATCCAAATTTCCCCAAGACCATTCCTCTGTTAATTAACAGTCCAAAGTAGGCAATGTCCATGCAAGTTGCCTTGACTGTGACCTGCCTCCCTTGTTGGCTGCTTTTTGGGCTGCCACCTTTTCAGCCAACAAATGATGGACAACCCACCAGTGGCAGACCTACATTTGGGGGGCCCTGAAGCTTAAACTGTTATGGGGCCCCCTTCGCAACCAGCAAACGAGGTCTGGGTAACCACTGTTAACCCCTTCAGCGGGGTTGTTCCACAACAGATCACCACATTAAAAAACACACAAAAAACTCCCCCCCCCTACATTTCAGATTTTGATTAAAATTGCTGTACAGTGTTGGATTATCTCACATGTCAAAATCACTGGTATGAATCAAATATTTCCTGTGCGTTCAAGTTTTCAAATTATGTGGGGGATGAAAATTAGGGAAATGGTATATACATGCATCAATAAGGTTGCTTATGGGGCATTGGTGCTAACTTGCCCCCCAGCCACATGATGTGTCATGTGACGCATCCCATGATACTGCCTGGCATGAGAGGGCAGGCGCAGGACACACAGAGGATGATCTTTGTCTTTGCCCATTCCAGCTTCCACCAGCTCCTGGGCTCCCCAGTGAAGGGATGAGCGAAGGCAACATTGGGTTTGGGGTGACCTTTTGACCCCTGGGTTTTCTGTATCAACTACAGTGGTACCTCAGGTTAAGAACTTAATTCGTTCTGGAGGTCTGTTCTTAACCTGAAACTGTTCTTAACCTGAGGTACCACTTTAGCTAATGGGGCCTCCCGCTGTCTCCCGCGATTTCTGTTCTCATCCTGAAGCAAAGTTCTTAACCGAGGTACTATTTCTGTGTTAGCGGAGTCTGCAACCTGAAGCATCTGTAACCCGAGGTAACCACTGTACAGTAGTAACTCAGTTTAAGAACTCAGTTTAAAACTCCAACCGGTGAGAGAATGGACCTGTGACCAATGCATGTGCCTAAACTCTAAGGGATCACACAGCATGCAGCCTGCCATTTTACTTACTCCTGCTTCAGAGCTGCACTTTGAACTATTGGTACCCCACTGCAGAGTAAAGGGATGCGGGTGGCGCTATGATCTAAACCACTGAGCCTCTTGGGCTTGCCATTCAGAAGGTTGGTGGTTCGAATCCCCGTGATGGAGTGAGCTCCCGTTGCTCTGTCCCAGCTCCTGCCAACCTAGCAATTTGAAAGCATGCCAGTGCAAGTAGATAAATAGGTACCACTCCGGCGGGAAGGTAAACGGTGTTTCCATGCACTCTGGCTTCCATCACGGTGTCTCGTTGTGCCAGAAGCGGTTTAGTCATGCTGGCCACATGTCCCAGAAAGCTGTCTGTGGACAAACACCAGCTCCCTTGGCCTGAAAGCTAGATGGGCGCCACACCTCATAGTCACCTTTGACTGGACTTAACCATCCAGGGGTCCTTTACCTTTACCTATCCCACTGTAGGACCACAATCTTTTCCTGAGGTGTTTGGAGAGTAAACAAATGCCCAGCGCATAAGGCCCAGATGACGCTGGAATGATGCCACGAAGCGAAACGGTAGCAATGTGCAAACAGCCAATCTAGGCACAGTAAGCAAGGCTGGTAGTCTGTTAATGGGAACTGTTTAGCCCAATGACTTTATGGCCTGCGTTCCAGGCACTGCACCTCAGGCCAAGCCAGATATCATATCGCGTTTCCGCAAAGTGCTACTGCTTGTGCATTTGCTTCTCCTTCATTAAGTGCTACTGCAAGACGGGGAGTTAATAGCATGAAATAAATATCTAGCCATATTACAGACCTGCTGCCGTGAGCAAGCGTTTGCCCTTTCATCCTATCAGCTGGGAGGTGGGGTGTGTGTGTGTGTGGATTTGCTTTGGGAAACACAATATTGCTCTAAAAACATCTTATCGTGCCCTTTTAATATAATGCCTGGGGGAAGGAAGCCACACTGCCAACCGTGAAGTGTTTGGCTACACACCCGTCTAAATGCTCCTATAACTATTATTATTATTATTATTCCATTTCCCCCGCCCCTTGGCTCTGTTGGAGGGGGGAATGTTGATGGATCATCACAGGAACATAGGAATAAGCTTTCAACCAAGGCCATGTTCACATCATACATTTAAAGCACTATGATGGCACTTTAATCAGCCAGGGCTTCCTTCAAAGAATTCTGGGAAGCTTCCTTTGTTTAAAAAGTTGAGAGTTGATAGGAGACCCCTGTTTCCCTCACAGATCTGCAACTGGCAGAGTGGTTCAATGGTCAACCCCTCTTCCCAGGGAACTCTGGTGTTCTTCCCAAGTTTTCCGCTTAGCCAGCATTCCTGCGGCTGCGTGCTGAACATGATCAGTCTTTACTGGGCTATTTCTGGAGTTCCTGCAAACTTGGGGTTTCCAGCAAGCCTGCTGAAGCCTTCCTCCTATGCATCGGAGGTGATATTTTGCCCACCTGGGCAGTACTGCTCCCTGGATTTCTGGAGGTGGAGACTGTGGAGGCAGATCACTAGGGGAAGGTAGGGCAAAGCCCTATCATTATTCTTTCACACCCTAAGATCCAAAGCTAGACTACAGCGGCCACCTTCATACATTTCCTCTCATTCAAAACTCCCAGGTGGCTTTTCCATCTCTTTCTCTTGGTGTAAGCAGAACTGGGGGGGATCACAGCGTGGTGCTGTGGTCTAAACCACTGAGCCTCTTGGGCTTCCCAATAGGAAGGGTGGCAGTTTGAATCTGAGCGACAGTGATGAGCTCCTGTTCATCTGTCCCAGCTCCTGCCAACCTAGCAGTTCGAAAGCAAGCCTGTGCAAGTAGATAAATAGGTACCACTGCGGCAGGGCAGCCTCCGTTTTGTTTTGTTTTTAAAAATTAAACAATTTGGATTGTCATATTTCCTTCCCTCTTGAGAAGTGGGCTCGTTTGCTCAGGCTGAGGGTTTTTTTCCAAAGGGCAGATTGAAAACCTGAGGTATGGGGACAAAATATGGGGAAATGACCAATTGCTGACATTTCTGAAGCACCAGGAACTAGCAGGGAGTATATTGTGGGACAAGGGTGGTGCTGTGGTCTAAACCACTGAGCCTCTCTTGGGCTTGCGAATCAAAAGATCGGCAGATCGAATCCCCACGATTCTAGCAGTTTGAAAGCACGCCAGTGCAAGTAGATAAATAGGTTACCACCGTGGCAGGAAGGTAAACGGTGTTTCCATGCACTCTGGCTTCCATCATGGTGTTCCGTTGTGCCAGAAGCGGTTTAGCCATGCTGGCCACATGAGTCAGAAAGCTGTCTGTGGCCATACACCGGCTCCCTCGGCCTAAAGCAAGATGAGCACCGCAACCCCATTAGTGAGCTTTGACTGGACTTAACCGTCCAGGGGTCCTTTCCCTTTTTTGCCTAATGCTGACACCTAAAAGTGGACATATCTAGGGGTTGGTTAGGCTGGCCCCCGCAAAGGATGCAGACCCAGGGAGGCGCAAAAATTGTCCCTCTTCACCCTTGTCTCAGAGTGCCTGATGGTGGAGGAGAGGAGGAAGGGCAGAGGAGACGCAACCTCAGTGGCAGTGGAGGAAGTCACTAGCGGAGTGCGAAAAGAGATAAAAAGCAATTTTTTGAGTTTCTGGTCCATGGTCTCTCCAGCTTTAGAGGCTGTGATGCAAACTCCTTGCCAAGAGTGCAAAGGAAGCCAGCCTAGGTACACCTCTGCCTAGACATTCTAGGTTTCCAACTTTTCTCCTCAGTGGTTGGGTCTGAAATATTTGATGTTTGTGTTTGAGAATAACATTTAAGTGCCCACTCTATATTTGCAAGGGACGCGGGTGGCGCTGTGGGCTAAACCACAGAGCCTAGGACTTGCCGATCATAAGGTCGGCAGTTCGAATCCCCATGACGGGGTGAGCTCCTGCTGCTC